GCTAATCATTACCTATTAGTCATCTCTAGCATCATTATTTGTTAAATTTAACTGTTTTAGATAATGATACAAATTAAATAATAATGACCGTGTCAATTATTATGATTCCTTTGTTGAACTTTGCATCTAATGGAGTGCATAATTCTTTTTACCTTGTAAAAGTTTGCAGCATCAACTTATATTTATTGGAAAATTCGTGTTTATTAGTGTTTTATCAGTTTTTTTGTACTTCCTCAATCGAATTATTGGAGTTATTTAAAAAAACTTTATCGACTTTTTTTTTATTTTTGTTTTATTACAAAATATCTTTCAATACCATGGAGAAACTTCTAAATATCGTCTTTATAGTCTATAAAAGCAAAGAATAAATTGCTATAAATTGTGATCCATTGCAACATGTAACGTGATTAAAAAATTATTGTGTTCTCGTGTCACACACGAATCATATTTTAAATAAAGTTAATAATGTAATATAAAAATGAAAACTAAATATATGAAATAAAAAAATAAATATTAATGTTAAAATTCTTAGGCAAATATTTATTATTTAAATACCGTAGTACACAGTCGTTATCCTAGTTTAAATGTATTTCTGAACTTTTTTCTTGTTCCAATTTAAATATACTTCAAGTTGTGATCGAGTCAATTCCCCCTTCCCGACTCAGTTGGTATGACAACTTTTATATATTTACCTTGAATGGATATGCTAAGTAATATTTTACGTTATCTTCATGTTACCTTTTATAGAAGTTGGGAAACACATGCAAAACCAAATTGCCAAGTACCAACAAAAATACATATGAATTAGAAAGAATTTTTTATCATCCACACCTATTAATCAGTAGAGTATTCACACGTGTCCTGTAATAAATACATTTTGGACAGGTGTCAAGAAGTTAAGTGATGGATGGTTCCATAAGAAATCTATTCGATGGCTCCATAGAATTTTTGTGTGCTACAGAGTGGTTAATATTATTCTACTTTAGTTTCCATTCGGGAAAATAACGATCTACTAGTTAGATTAAAGGGTAAAATTTAGGTACTATTTGGACTAAGTTTATTAGCGGATTGTATTAAATTAGGGGATTTAATTTCATTTAGAGATTTGATCATTTAAATTCATTAATTAATTGTTTGGTAATGAGTTTATTTGATTAGCATTTTGGACCAAAAATGTTAACTTTAAAGGGGGCAATTGTCTATAGGAGTTATCCAGTTTTGACTAGTCGGATAATTTCTTAATACTTTTTAACTCAAAATCTTACTCAACTTTATTCAATTTAACTCAATTTCTCTCATCTCAATAAATAAATATAATTAAATAATATCAACTACGTACTCACCACTTGCAATCACATCTCTTATTTTTATATCATATCAGCTTTATTCATTATATTTTAAATATTATTTAAATTTCAACTCAATATCACAGTTAATTCTCTACTCAGTCAACTTTATTTAAAATAACTCATTTTATCCAATAAATCCAATTAAAACTAAAATATTCTACACCCAATCACCCTCATCAGACTAGCGCAACATTTTGAAAAGAGATTTGTTTTTTTTTTTCTTAAAGTAATGCAACATAACAACTATAATTTTTTTTTATTTACTAANAATCAAATGGTACATTGCAAAATTTTGGATTCCTATCATAAAGTTTTTGCACGGATTACAAAATGAAACTTTGTCTGCTAATTTTTATGATAAACAACTCAATGATTGATTGAAATGTACCATTGAATTCTTTGAAAAAATATATAGAAAAAATACATTGATTTTTTTTTTTAAAATCAATGTATTTTCGATCAATTGTTGTGAAAGTGCAACAATTAGATTTTCGATCAATTGTTGAACTAACGAGATATACCAAGTACAATTAATTTACAAAATTTCTAATACAAAAGTTAGTTTAAAATAAATTGATTTTTTTTTTAAAAAAAAAAAAATAACTTTGAATACTAATAACAATTTCCCCCAAGATGATGAATTATTATAGACATGTCAACAGGGACCCAACACGAATGTATAATCATTAAAATGCAGCTGAGCCAGGCATATCACATGTTATTTTGCAGTACCGATTAAAATTTGAATTATATATTAATTGAAATTAGCAAACATTAATTAATTTAATTCGACAATGTTTTTACCAATGGAAAATAGTAGTATACTTTTTAAGAAGAAAAGGAGAGAAAACGGGGTTGATAAGCTGAACGCTGTTTTCGGAGGAAGTTTGACAGCTATTTTGTCGCAGTGTCTCATGGTTAGACTGACATCCTCACCGACACGTTTAAAGCGCACATGGGAAGCAAATGGGTGAGATATTATTATTATTATTATTATTATTATTATTATATTATTATTATTATTATTATTATTATTACATTTTATTTAATTATTTAAATATAATAAGTCACTATTATTATTTTTGTATAACTTTTTAATTATTTAAATATAATAAGTCACTATTATTATTTTTGTATAATTAAAATATTATTATTACATTTTATTTAATTATTTAAATATAATAAGTCGCTATTATTATTTTTGTATAATTAAATCCCACACTGTAACCGCTGTCTGAATTTCATTCTCCATCTTTTTTTATTTTTTGACTTTTTTTTTATTAGGAATGTAGGATAAACTATGAGAAACTATAATTGTAATATAGTTATACCGTCCATCCTAAATCTATATATATATATATATATATATATAACTACTAGCTAATAGCATTTAAAAAAACCTATTTAATAAAATCTCTAAAATTTTTCCTCCATTTCCGGTTACAAAATTTATCATTAATGTTTTTTACTTCTCACATTAATACATCCTATTGAGTGTAATCATGTATTTTTCTATTATATTATATAATACTTAATGTTAATACCAACTAATAATAATTCACAATAAATATATATTGCATAATTATAAACAATTGTTTCAAGTTATTTATATTAACATAAATATTATATTTTTTTTGTATCTCATGAATTTTTTTTTAAAAAAACAATTATTAAATTATTTTAATAGCATAGTCAAAGAATCTTATAAATAATTATTTTTGTAATAATAATAATAATAATCAAACTGCTATTATCTAATGATAATTAATAATAGTTCTTAATAATAAACAATCATTAATTATTTTTTCTAATGATTAAATTTTAAAAATGTAATATATTTATTATCTAAAATTTAAATATTAAATTCTCAAATATTACTTATTATATTTTATGTACATATGTGCATGTGCACAGAATATTTGTTAGTTATAAGTATTATTGGACTTAATATATCATCCAAATTATACACTTTTTTAGGTTTATTCTTTTTTATTAAAATTATAAATTACTCAATGTTTTAAATATCATATTGCTATGTTAGTAGTCTTACAGGCCTAACCACCATCATGTGGTATTATTGGTCCAACCCGCAATATTGGTCGTATTATCATAATAAAAAACATAATATTCTACATAATTTGATGTAAACTATAAAACACAAATAATAAATAATCTATATTTATTAAGTTTCAACTTTTTAATAAGAAAGTGCATAAAGATGGAATGTGCGCATCATTTGGCTGATTGACTCATCAAGGCTACACAAACAATAAGAATAGTTTGTTTACCAATCAAATCTGGATAAGGTTAGTACAACTTAATATTTGTTTAGTGGTGTAGTGAGATCCTATTAGTTGTATGGCTTTTGTCTCCTTTTGCTTGAACAAGTTATCAAGATGGCCCACCTTTTTCTTGCTTCTTTATAATCTTACACCAATTTAACAATCTTACACCAAAATAAGTAGAACTTGAGATGGAAAAGCACATGCAAAGCAAAAGGACATATTAAAGAACATTGATATCTAAACTAGAAAGAAGTTATGCCATGATTGGCACTTAGCAAATAATGAATAACTAATAGTTGATCAATCAGCTATGGACACTTTGCAAATAGTGGATGATCGATAGTTGATTCAATTAGCTATTGACGCTTAAAAAGTAGCTGATAATTGATAGTTGATTCGATAGTTTATAGCAGATTACTTCCAAATCAGCAGTTTTGACAAGTTGATTGAATTAGTTGATTATGTAGAAGTGTTTGTTAAATAATTAATTTCTTCATATGTAAAATAACTAATATTGAGATCCTATATTTTGAAAGGATCATATATTGAGTTTCTTTTATTTCGTTGGATAAAAAAGAAGATTTTTTTTAGTACTTCTAATAGGCATGTCTAATCGTAAATTTGTAATACTTTTTTTTTTTTTTTAACATATATGATGTTTTATTATTCAAATATCATACTTTAAAAAATAATATTAACAAACATAATTCATTTCACAGTATAGATATACATTTTGTTAGAAAGTATGATAGATCAATCGTCTAACTGTTTTGTTACCTTACAACATTTTTTTTCTAAAGAAAGCATGGTTTGTCAACCCAATGACATTTGTTGAAGAATCAAAATCCAAAATAGGGAAGACATAGTTATTCAACCAAAATTGAAGTTCAAACAAAATCAAGTGATTATTACTTGTAGGTAGCATATTTATTTAGCAATCAACGAGGAAGGTGTTTAGGTACAACATCCATTTACTTCCTTTAGAATGAAACCCTTTCTCCAAAGCAAGTATAATGGTGGGCGCCTCATTCATATGGAATGAAATTTATAAAGGATAAAGTTTCAATCATTACAAAATACAAAGAGAGATGCAGTTTTATCAAATAAAATAAGTAACACAAAAACACTGGTGAAACATGAACACAACACGATTTGCCACAAATAGAACACATGATTCCTGACAATAGGTTTATAAGAAAATAAATATATGATTGTGNTGAAGAATTAAAAAAGGTAATGAAAATTGGGATTTTAATCCACCCATTTGCCATCCATACGCAAGGCCAATCATTGGGAATACCAAACACACCACCACTACTTGCAACTCCAAACTGGGAAATTATTTGGTAAAATGCACATGAACTAGTCAATATTCGCTCTGTTTTCCATGTGCACCATCACATGCACCAGCACTGTTAGACATTGATATAAAATTTCATCACTCTTATGAGTTATGACCAAAACAAATGTAAATGCATAACAAAAATTACACATGATGCTGGCAAATCATGTTAGGAAAGTGTGGAAGAAATGAAAAGGATCATCAAATGAACTATAGCAACTACTGCTCCCCAGTATCTGAATTTAACAAGTAAATCAACAATATATATATATATATATATATATAAGGACCTGGCAATCAAATAAGGAATTTTTCCATAAAAGAGAAATGAAAATATCCAAGAAAAAAGATACATGCAATACACGCTCATGATCCGCAACTCTTTCTAATAAGCCGATCACAAGTCTAACCTCAAACAAACTGCGCCCAAAGACTAGGTTTGTCTTTGCCATTCTCTTCTTCTTCCCAC